TTCATGTTTTTGATCCTGTAGAGGCTAGAGCAGGGCACTGACTATCTTTCTCTCTGCCTTATTGCTTGGAGACAGTGTTGCAGCTAGACTGGCTGGCCCAAGAGCTCCTGAGATGTTCCTGTTGCTGCCCCAGTGCTTAACTCACAGTCCCCTCCATCTTCCTTTTGCATGGGTTCTGGGGATCCAAACTCAGGTCTTCGTGTTTGCAGAGCAAATGCTCTTTCTTACTTTCTCTGCCATTTTCCCAGGTATACCATTTTATTTTTCTTAGGCAGAATCTTCAAGTGACCCTGGAATTGCATTTTGGGTAAGACTCTTGCCAGCCAGAGCAAGCAAGCCTGAACTCTATTGAATCAGAATAGACTTCAGATTCAAACTGGGAAACTAAGTCAGTTGTGGGTTCCTCCTTTTTAAGTTATTTTAAGACTCCATTGAGTCCTTAGATGACTGTGCCTGTCTTTGGTGTTTCCTTACCACACTCCAATCTTACCCATCATGGGAGCATGAGTTCCATCATTCATGTACTGTCTTAGGTTGAAAGGGGGCAAAAAAAACTTACCTGTCTTTGGTTGTCATCCTCTGGTATCATAAGTCAGGGGAATATGTGGAGTTTTACTCCATGAAGTTCTGAGCCCAATTTTCATAGCAAGTTTGTAATCAGCTTGAAAACCATAGGCAAACAGATTAATCCTATTAAGACATATATCCCAATAATTATAATGTAACTTGAGAGTGAAGTAAATGATTAGCATGATGGAATAACCTTTTTAAATTGTTCCAACATTTTTCAGCTGTTTTAGCCATATCAAAATCTATTTTAGCCTTTTTTATTTTTGTAATTTCTTGATGCAATTTAGCCAAATCTCAAGATTCATTATAATCGTGCCAACTTCCTTTAATATGTGCCTTAACACTTTCCCATCCAACAACATTTTCATTATATATAGAAGATGAAATATAATTCCATTCATTATTAGCATTTTAAATGTATTCCAGTTTTAGGCTTTGGAGCTCATCTCCCTAAAATTGTGCCATCTCATATACGGCATTCAATTTATGTTCCATTCTTATATCTATATCTTTTTGTGTTTTTAATGTCATAGAAACATTCTTAGATAACTGATTAACAAAACCCACTGTCTGAATGGACTGAGACAAAGCCTTAATAGTACATAGTAGAAACAATCATAGTAGTAACCAGCATGGTAACAAGGGCTGCAATTTCTGCTATAACTAATCCAACAGCATGCTCTTATCTATCTAAAGCTTTTTAAATCATTTGTAACCATTTATCATCAAATCATGGATCATTTATATATATTGTCTTTATTATAAAAGAAGGTTGTTTTAACATTATTATATGAGTATGATTATCTATTTGAGAAATATAATTAGTCAAAATGCAATTAAAACATGATATAGTAAACATAGAACTATTTATAAAAGTGTTTACCTCTCCAACTACAAGGACATAGGGCAATATAATATAAGCTAAAACAGTCTCAATCAAAGGACAAACAGGTTTTTTGTTTGGTTGGTTTTTGTTTGGTTTTTGGAGACAGGGTTTCTCTGTATAGTTTTGGTGCCTGTCCTGGATCTCACTCTATATAACAGGCTGGCCTCAAACTCACAGAGATCCATCTGGCTCTGCCTCCCTAGTGCTAGGATTAAAGGCATGCACCACTGCTGCCTGGTGACAAACGTGTTTTGGTGAACTGGAATGCCCTGCCATTGTCCCCATGGCAGGAGCAAGTTTCCAACATAAGTTTGTGAAAATCCTGTACTGGAATACCAAATTCCAGCTGACAGTCCCAAGATTCAGCTGTAGACATAGAATAAGAGTCATTATAATCATCTTGATTTCCAGACCAGTCAAGAATATATTGTTGTGTCCCTGTGATGTTGTATTTTAAAGGAACAATGCCTGTACATCTCTGCCATAACAAAGTTCTATTAAAGTCTCATAATTCTTTTGTGCATGGAGGAAATCATTGAAGGGGTGAAATATTACTTCCCCAATTACTTTGGGGAAGCAATAACTTTGTATAGCTAGTACATAGTTTATCATGCCCCATTATTTGTTTTGAAAACTTTCCAAGACATCCATCTAAAGTAGTATTTCTTTTGCAAAACATAAATGAATTCTTTTATCATATCCAAAATAACAAAAATTTTGAGCAATCAGGAATTCTTGAATGGCAAGTTGATCTAATCACCGGGTATCATTGACTGTGACCACAATCTCCCTTCCTTCCCAAATCACAGGATGTAACACAGGAGGATCAGAAATATAGGGCCAGTAGGTCTCATCACTCTGGCACCTCTGGATGACCATCAGCAACATCAGGACCAGCATTTCTCTGTTTCATATATCATATTAAACGCTCAGGCAGCCAATGAGCTTCATTTTCTTCCTGTGAAAACACATAAACATGCTCTCATCTCCATATTAAAACAGGGTTGGGCCCCTTCATTGATTAAGATAAAAAAAAGTGCTACTAATCTCAAATGTTTCACATTGATTCAGGTTTTTATATCTTCATGCAAGTTATTATGATATATGCATATATATTTATATGATTCTATTTTTTTTTGAAATGTTATACCTATACAATGTTCTAAACTGCTGGAAAGAAACCACAAGAAAAAGGACTTTGATGAAAATTTGCATGTATTCTAAAAAGCAAGAGAAGTCAAAAGACTAAAATTAAAAAAAATTGTTTATGTCTAGCTGATCCAAAAGAACATAGAAAAAAGCCTAGCCTAAAGATTCATAAACATTACAGAAGGCCAAAGTAGTTACGAACTATACTAACTTCAAAGAAAAACTATAAGATATGTTGGAGATTTAACCATATTAGGTTAATTCTGGTTGGTATTTAATTTAAAAAATAGCTGAAGATTCTGCCTTTTCAATATTTAGAATATATATTATATCCCCCAAAAAGCTAAAGCCTCAAAAATTAAAGATAAAAAGATAGGTTGAAAACTTTAAAAAATTTTCAGAATCTATTAGGTGATATTCAATTTTTTCAATCTTATTTAAAAATTATCTACTCATGATTTAGAACCTTTAAGGGATATTTTAACAAGAGATAATGATCCTAATTGACCTAGACAATTAACTAAAAAAAAAGACAGTTTTTTCACAGGTTGAAAATGCTATTCAGTATCAACAAATACATTACATCGATTGTGATCAGCCTTGACAAACATATATTCTACCCCCTAGACTTACTCCTACCACATTTTTATGACAAAACGGTCCTCTTTTATGATTACATCTTTCTGTTTTACCAGTTAAAATATTAAATTCATATTAAGAACCTGTAACATGTCTAGTACAAAAGAGTCAAATTATATCTAAAAAATATTTTGGAAAAGAGCCTAAGATTATTAATATGCCTTTCACTCAACAACAAATTGATTGGCTATTTCAAAATAATGATTCTTGAGCAATTGCTTTTGTTCAAGTTTTAGGGCAAATTGATAATTATTTTCCTGCTGGTAAATTATTACACTTTGCACAGATACATTCTTTAATTTTCCCTAAAATAATAATACAAATTCCAATAAAAGATGCTGCTTTGATTTCTACTAATGGCTCATCTAATGGAAAATCAGCCTATGTAATCAATAAAAAAGGATATACAATCTAGACTACCACTGCTTCAACTCAAATATTAAAAAAGGAGGAATTGTGGGAGCCCACAGTGACTCAGTTTCCCAGTTTGAATCTGAAGTCTATTCTGAGTCATTGGAGTTCAGGCTTGCTTGCTCCAGGGCTGTGAGAAAGTCCTGATTAGCCCATGGGAAGGAACACACTGTCTAGCTAGACACAGGCTGCTGCTGCTGGCCTCAGGCTGCTGACATCCAGCTGGGAGGTACATCAAGATAGAAAATGAAACTGCCTGCTCCTTGACCCAAGGACAGGGTAGGTAATGGTGGAAAGCCTGTGCTATGCACTGTTCTACTTCTGCCCTTCAAGTTTGTATATAAGCTGGCTGTAAACTCAACTCAGGCACTGTCTGGCATTGACTGGCCATCCTCTTGACTCTGTTCTATCTTCTTCACTGTCTCCACAATCTGCAGGCCTCCACACTGCTGCCTGGTCAACTTGTTGCCTGGCTCTGACACTGATCTAGGCAAAGGACCTCTGGAGGTGAGGAATTGGCTCTAGCTCTCTCTTAATGCCTTCCCTTTTGTCTCCCTTTCTTCAGAGACACAAGGCAATCAGATGTTAAGAGCAGGGTGGAAATCCAGGACATCATCAGGGGTGAGTAGGGTTATGGCTCCTGGGCTTCCTTAGCATGCCCTGGCTGTGCCAACTCCTGTGGCTTATCTACTTAGAAGATTCATTGATCTTCCTTACCCATGTCTCTTGCTCTTCACTTTGGTATGAGCTAACCCACTCAGGGCTAGAATGACCAGGCTTGGGAAGGGCTGAAACCATCATCTTGCAGGAAACCTTGCCAAGGGCAGAACTGTGGAGGTCCCACAGGTACTATAGTTAAGTGGTGTCAGGGTATAAAGGAACCACCCAAGGAGCTCAGACCACACAGCACAGGTAAGGAAGGAGCAGCAGTCCAGCCTGGTGCAGCAGGAGAAGACAGAGTGGAAACAGAGAATGGATTGAGTCAGATAGAGACTGAACCATGAGGGACAGATGGAGCGGTTTGGAACATGGAGTTTCTCCAGGAGTAGCTTTAGACTTTGGGCAGCCCAGTGTGATATGACATCATGGGATCTCTTGCTAAGAGCTGAGTTGGAATGGAAGCACAGTGACATTGGGGGGTTGCAGTGTGGGCATGTGGGGGAAACCATCCCTGGGCCCTTCTGAAGCCTTTAGAGATGTGGAAAAAGAGGGTTCCCAAATGTTCCCTTGTCTCAATCTGGGGTATGGAGGTCCCTTAAATCTGGTGTCTTTTCCTCAGAGCCTTTCTGAAGTCTTGTCATCTCCCTGTGTCTCTAAGCATCAGACTTGTGCCCCAAACCCTCAGGAGCCATGCTGCTGTTGCTGACTTTGGCTGTCCTTGCTGGTGCCACCTGCAGAGCCCAGAGTGAGTACCTTACCTCCTTTGTGGCCTTCACCTCCTGTGACCTGTTCAAAGAAGAAGGGGCCCTGAGTGTTTTCTGTCTCACTTTCCCCAGATATACTGGGCAATACAATCGGCAGCTATTTCTACATTCATGGTGAAGAGCAGGGGGAAATCAAGGCCATCCGGATCTTCTATTCACTATTAAGACGCCTCAAGGGGTGAGAAGGGTTCTAGCTCCTTGGCTTCCTGTAGCACTCCCCAGTTGTGCCTGCTCCTGTGGCTTGTCTAGAACCCTCACCTGAGCTAGCCCACTCAGAGCTGGAATGCCCAGGCTAGGCCCAGACTAGACAATCCTCATGGAGGCAGGTGGAGAGGTACCTCTAACTTTGTGATTCAGAAAGGATCATAGAGACTGAAGGGTCTCTCCTCCCATAGTTCTGGTGGTCCTAGTGCTCCTTGGAAGTCACAGGAACTGCTTACATGGCCTGAGAGATGTCCTGGCTTTCACAGGACATGAAATGACCTTCACAGGACATGAAATCATGTGCGGTTCACCCTGCCATTCTGGACTTTTGCTCTGCTCTAGAAAGGCCAGCCATTCCCTAGGGACAGGCCAGAGCTTGACTGTCCTCACCAGCTTCTGCCTCATGAGGTCTGCTGTTCTCCTAGAGTGCCTCAAAGGCCTTGTGCTACTGTTGCCAAGCTTGTTAAATGCAAGCACAGTCCCCAAGGTTAATAGAATTTCAGATGTGTAGATGGAAGTTTCTCAGTCCTGCCAGGTCCTGCAGGAGCCGTTCTTATAATAATCATTCAGAGGCTTTACATTAATTACAAACTGTTTGGTCAATGGCTCAGGCTTATTGCTAGCCAGCTATTACATCTTAAATCAACCCATTTCTATTCATCTATGTAGCGCCATGAATCTCGTGTCTTTACTGTGTTCTGGTACATCTTGCTCCCTTGGCGGCTTGGAGCATCTCCCCTCACTCCATCTTTCTTCTCCCTGTATCTCTGCTTTGATTTCCTCCTGGCTGTAACCTGTCTTACCACAGGCCAAAGCAGTCTGTTTATTAACCAATGGTAGCAACACATATTCACAGCCTACGGAAAGACATCCCACAGCACAGATGATCAATGGATGTTCTTTTACTGTGTCTCCTGTGTAATATTGAGGTCATCTTAATCCTTTGAGAATTCAAAGTAGGTAGATAGGGAGAAGGATGGGCAGATATGGTGTTTGCTGTGCAAGTACGAGGCCCTAAGTTTGTGTCCCCAGGACCCATGTGAAAGCTAAGAACTGCAGCACAAGTCTGTAAACCTAAAGCTGTGGGAGGAGAGACAGGGAGATCCTGCTGGACTCATCTGGCCAGAGTCCTACCCAAAATGCAATTTCAGGGTCACTTGGAGACTCTGCCTAGGAAAAATAAGGTAGTATACCTGGAAAAATGGCAGAGAAAGTAAGAAAGAGCATTTGCTCTGCAAACACGAAGACCTGAGTTGGATTCCCAGAACCCATGTAAAAGGAAGATGGAGGGACTGTGAGTTAAGCACTGGGGCAGCAACAGGAACATCTCAGGAGCTCTTGGACTGTCAGTCTAGCTGCAACACTGAACTTCCGTTCAGTGAGAAACCTTGTCTCCAAGCAATAAGGCAGATAGCCAGAGAGAAAGATAGTCAGTGCCCTGCTCTAGCCACTGCATGTTCAAAACATGCATCACAGACAGACAGACAATCAAACAGAGACAGACAGACAGACACACACACAGTCACATGCAAAAAATAAATAATAAATCAATGTCAAAAAATGAGGAAATGAACCATACAACACAAAATCTACTTGCACTGGAAAATACTCATGATCATCTGAAATTCTTGTTGCATTGGATATCCTTCCCTCCTTTTATCTGGAATCTGATTTTGTATGCCTTTTATATTGCAAGAGAAGGAAGTTGGCATTAGCAATAATGTAGAAGAATTCTTTGCTTGGTAGAACAGCTCCCAGGGCTCTCCTGTTCCCTCCTGACAACACTAGGAGAGATGAGCCTGTCTCCCTGGTCTCTGCCTGTAAGGTCTGCTGACCTGAGCAGAGGGGTCTCATTGTGGCTGCTGCCTCATTTGGGCCAGACAGGGGAGGAGGCTCCAGATGGGAGACTGTGACTTGGGCAGACCTGCAACGGATTCAGGTTCAGAATGTCCTGCAGTGGTAGATCTAGCCACCCAGGCACAGATACATGACCTGAGCTAGACTCTATGAGGACCTGTGAGAAGAGATGTGTGTCAAAGAGGCACAGGAGGGATTCCAGGCTTCCATATCAGAGCTGGGCACTTCTGGAGACTAAACTGTGTGAACTAGGAGGGGGAACAGTTTTGAGAAAGAACAGGAATTCTTGAGGTTGCACTGACTTGATTTCTCTCCAGCATCCAGCTGCAGTTTCAGAATCACTGGAGTGATGTTTATTGAGGCCATTCAACAAGTTATGAAGAGTTTCTTCTGAAGGATGGCGAGCATATCATAAAGGTGCATGGCAACGTGGGAATCTCCCTAACATCCCTGACCTTCACTACCAATCAGGGGACTCAGTTTTCCTTTGGTATAAAACAGGGTTGTCCAATTGAAGAGAGTGGAGGTCCAGACCAGTGTCTACAGACTGTCAGTGGCGTGCACTCACCCATCTGTCTCCAAGGGATAGGCTTGAAATGGACTAATAACCCAGAGAAGCCTCAAAGAGGACCAATGCCTGTCCCTGACAGTGACAATGAGAGGGAAGGTAAAAAAGTTAAAGACAAAGGCAAACGTGAAAAAAAAAAAGATACAATGATGATAATGATGATTAGCAGAAGGAAGATGAGTAAGATTAGTAGTGAGCTCAGATATCAGTCCTGCATCTCCACATTTTATGACCTCCTCTCAGCCAAGCTCACCCACCTTGAGGGACCAATGTACTAGGTGACCCTGGGCTGGAGGAGGAAAAGCCCAAATGGCCCTGTATCTCTGTGTCCAATAAACTTTGTGCATCCGTATGAGCCTGAGTGGTCCTTGTCACCAAATGGGATGGTTTGAGATCCCCCAGAGCCTCCTTTACCTCCCCAGTTTTTGGACCTACACCCGTGCACTGAGTTAAGGTTTACACAGAAAGACCCTTGGTCAACTCAGCAGGCCTGAGGTCCCCAGAATGAGGCCAGCATCCAGCCCCTGCCTGTCTCAAAGCAACACAGGGCCTGCAGGAAGAGCTCAATGTGTGTTGACCAAGCTGGCAGGGCCTGGCTTTGCAGTGGTCCCATGTAACTGTATTTGAGCAGGTGCCATTGTCTCCTGTTCCTCTCCAGACCCTCCCGTTCTCCAGCCACCTCTTCCCTTCCCTTCTCCTGTCCTGGTCACTATCCTTCCTCATAAAGCTAGGCTGCCTGAAATGCATCTCCTAAGCAGTTGGGGATTAAATCTAAGGCCTCATGAATGCTCGGCAAGTACTCTAGCACTGAACCGTATTCTTAGCTTGCACTTATTTTTTTTAGTGTTCATGAATGAATGAATGATACTTATATATATGCAAGCAAAACACACATCTAAACTAATAGAAACTTTAAAAAAATTTAAAGAAACTCTTTGTCTTAATTAAGGTTTGTTTGTATTGCTGTGAAGAGACATCTCATCCACAATAACTCTTATAAGGAAAACATTTCATTGGGGCTGTCTAACAGTCCAGAGGTTTAGTCCATTATTGTCATAGTAGGAAACATGGCAACATCAGGCAGAAACGGTGCTAGAGAAGGAGCTGAGAGTTCTACATCTGGATGGGCAGGCAGCAGGAAGAGAGAGAGACACTGGGCCTGGCTTCAGCTTCTGAAACTCCAAAGCCCACCCACAGTGACCTACTTCCTCCAACAAGGCCACACCTTGAGGGACATTTTCATTCAAACCACTACATTCTTATTTTGTTATGACTCAATTTCCCCAAGTGGTTAAAGTCAAATATAGTTAACAAAAAACATGGCCAGGTGTTTTGGCACACACCTTAATCCTAGCACTCAAGAAGCAGAGGCAGGTTGATCTCTTTGAATTTGAGGCCATCTTGGTATATGTAGTGAGTTCTAGGACAGTCAGGGCTATATAGGGTAACCTTGTCTCAAAAAAACAAACAGAAAGATTGACAAAAATGCAAGATATTATATTGATTAGACTTATATTTATTGTCTTTTAAGATCTATATCATTGGGCTGTGGTGGTACACACCATTAATTTCAGACTCACAGAGGTTGGCAGATCTCTGTGAGTTTGAGGCCAGCCTGGTCTACAGAGTGAGTTCCAGGATGGCCAGAGCTGTTACACAGAGAAAACTTCTCTCAAAAACAAAACAAAACAAAAAAAAGCAAAAGACTCTGTCAATATTACCACAAGTGGACATGTATAATCTTAGAAATTTTATCATAAACACAGACCATTCTTATGTCATTTTCCAGAAACCTTGCACAACTCACTCAGATCTTCTGAGCTTAGCTTTTAGCTTTAAGCTTTTCTTAGTATTATTTTCATCTTTGATTTTTAGTCTCTTGAAAAATCTTATTATATAAAATTCATTTTGTGTGTTTATTTAGGGCTCAGTGCCTGCAGGCCCAGGTGGACCAGAGTAATCTCCATCGACATTATATCCTGGCAGTTTCCCCTCCCTCCACTCCCCTCCCTAACACCTACCACCAGATTCACTTCTCTGTTTCCCTTCAGAAAAGAGCTGACCTCCCAGGGATATCAGTGGAGTACAGCACAGCGAGTTACAACAAGATTAGGAACAAACGCTCATATCAAGGCTGGACAAGGCCACCCAGTAGGAGGAAAAGGGTCCCAAGAACAGGCAAAAGAGCCAGAGACAGCCCCACTCCCACTGTTAGGAGTCCCACAAGAGCACCAAGAAGCAGGCTGGGTGGTGGTGAAACACACATTTAACCCCAGCACTCGGGAGGTGGAGGCAGGTGAATCTCTGTGAGTTCGAGGCCAGCCTGGGCTACAGAATGAGTTCCAGGAAAGGTACAAAGCTACACAGAGAAACTCTGTCTTGAAAAACCAAACCAAAACAAAACAAAAAAAAACCAAAAAAAACAATAAAAAAACCCAAACCAAATAAAAACATACATAAAGAAGACCTAGCTCAGACCCATACAGGATCTGTAACTGTCCCTTCAGTCTCTTAGAGTCCCCATGAGCCCTGCTTAGTTGATTCTGTGAAATG